TAAAAACTATACTTAAACCATCTAAGAAGTGATCTCAAATAATATGATAAGAAGAAATCTCAAATCGGTATACAAAATTTTTAGCCAGATCAGTTAAGTAGTGTTCGTGATAAGCAATTACACTGGTTTTTGCGTCTTTACATGTACATTAGTAAGAAGAGCGAAGGTAATGAAAATAAGCTCAGTTAGACTTATCAATCCTAACGAACAGCAGGGATACAGTTATTTTACAGCAGAGAAGCTTGTAATTACCCGATTTGTTGTCAATTGTTTATGATAGTGTATTGTTGATAGCTATCGTAACGCAACAGATAGTAATAAATAATCTTGTGACATAATAAACGAATAAATTGAGCTAAGTTGAAACTAATAATTATAACGTACGACAGAGATTATTTTGTTTTACTTAGATGGAACCATTATGGTACGACGATACATATGTCATACAGTTTTATGTAACTGTAGATGAAAAATAAACTTTTTCTTACGCACTTTTTGACTATGAAAGTTTTATTTTTTGTAGATCGCTCTTTACAGTGCAGCGGCTTGGTTAAGCAAGTAGCTTCAACTTTATCAACGCACCCTACTATGTTTTGGTATGTTCGTTACTACTATTTTTTGATGGTATGTTAAGTCGTTTGAGTGCTTGTATTCTGTTCTAGATAGATGTATTTGTAAACTATAGATATATTGACGCCCTGAACGAAAATTATGCCCTAATTGGCCCTGGACGAAAATTATACCCTTTTGACGTCTCAGGCGAAGACTATACCTTTTTTCTAGTCCGGACGAAAACTATGTCCTTTTTTGGTCCCAGGCGAAGACTATACCCTTTTTTTTTGAACCAGGACGAAGGCTATGCCCTTTTTTTGCACCCAAACGAAGACTATGCCTTTTTTTCGCGCCCGGACAAAGACTATGTCCTTTTTTCTAGTCCAGACGAAAACTACGCCATTTTTTCTGAGTCTGGACTAAAAATATGTCTTTCTCTCACGTCCAGACGAAAAATAAATTAAAAAACACCCCAATATTATTTACTAACCCCTCTACAAGCTATAAGTATGCTGGAAGAAGCTCACGAAAATGAAGCTTCTGAAAACGATTTAACATTTTCAGATTTTTTGATACTTGTGTATATATTTATTTATATTGATATAAGTTTTATCTTCACATCGAGATTCACATATACGTGAATCTACAGACGCCTTTGTAAAAAAACAACATGTAATCATTATTCTTAGCAGGTTTAACGGCTTAAGTATTTGAAGTTTTGGTAAGTGTTTGAAAAAAAGGAGTTTTTGAGCTTTTTTTTAAAAAGATTCCATAAATTGTACATAACAATAACTGTAATTAATTGAAACTTGCTAATTTATTCATGCGTTAAAAAAAGCTTTGTAACTTAAATATGCATGTCTTACAAATATTATTGATAAAAAATCTATTTACTTTTTTCTCAATTTTCTTACGAATACTATATTTTATAATATCACGAATTGTACAAATTTTATTAATTTTTCAACTTCAAGTTACAATAATTATATTAGTTACTTATTATTATCAACAGGATTGTAGAAAAATAATAAACTTGGAAATAAAACATGAAAGTATCTTTCATATTTAATGATTGCAAATTACCATGCTTATAAAAACATTCCTGAGTTTGTATTATTATTTTATAATGGTGTATTATTATTTACAAATATTTATAGAAATGTAAGCAACAACTACTAAATAAGTATATATGGCTATATATCTAATTAAAAACACAAATGTAAGGTGTGATTAAATGAATTGTACTTCATCCGGGCTCCAGAAAAGGTCAATATCTTCGTCCAGACTCGGAAAAAATTTAATAGTCTTCACACGGACTAGAAAAAAAGGGCATAGTTTTCGTCTGGACTCGAGAAAAAGGCATAGTTTTCCTCCGAGCACAAAAAGGGCATAGTCTTCGTCCGAACTCCGAAAAAGGGCATAGTCTTCGTCCGGGACTCCAAAAGAGCATAGTTTTCGTCTAGAACATATAGAACATATAAAAGAGCATAATTTTTGTCCGGACTCTAGAAAAGGACATAGTCTTCGTCCGGGATCATAAAAGGGCGAAGTTTTTGTCCAGACTGCGGAAAAAGGCATAGTCTTCGTCCAGGATTCGAAGCAGGTCATAGTCTTCACCCAGGGCATCAATATATATACCTCGATTTGTGCCAGAATCATTTGTTGCAAGCTGAGTTCACTCTCTCTCCGTAAGGTGGCCACTATTGCTTTGCTTATAATGTTTGGAAATTAAGGAAAGTAACTGTGTAATCGTATGGTGCTCCTCTGATGTATATAGATTTTTTTATATTATAATGTATTTACTACTAATGAGGTATTTACACTAACGTATGAAAATACAGTTGTACGTGAGCCTTCATAATGTATCGCTGAATGCGCAATCACATATATATACCATAGCGGCATTTCAATGATGTGCGCACTTGTTTCCTCATTTCCTCATTTTTCTTTCTTTGTATCGTGCACTAAAAACGGTGTCGAAGTACTGTCAGTAACTATATTCATAATTCACGCGGCAAAGCATTTTAGTTCAGTGTATTTACATTATTTCACTATTTGAAGTAGTACCCCATCGTATATAAAGCGACTTACAAGATTTCCATCTCGTCGTGTAAACTAAGATTGCGATTCTAGTTGTAATCACTTTGTAGATTAAATAATGACTTAGTAAAAATTATTTCTGGAAAATCGCAGTAATTACTAATAGTTTAACTTATTGTATGCAAGAACTTCATTTAAGGGTAGGCAAATGATTTTTTGAACTATTATAAGGTATCCTATATTAATAATACTTATTTTAAGTGTTGAATTCTCTTCGAGAAATGTCAATAATTCCTAGGGTAAAATCGAGGCACTTATTAAGTAGCGTAAAACACAAATTAACAAACACTTTTAAATATTACGTTCAATAAATTAAAGTAAGCTCTAACGATGACAGCTGATTCGGAAGTACGCTAGAAGCACATAGAACTCTTGGTTAAAGACGATGTGGCGCTCTAACGTACTGAGAATTTCCCTCCTTATCTACGGTCATATTTGCTATTTCGTGGGGCTACCAAACAATATAAAAATATATTAAGATTTAAGAAGTCTACCTTATTGCCTCGGAGCTCAGTAAAGTAGTTATAAAGAGTTAAACAGGTTAATGGGAGGATTTGTTGTCCACCTCATGAATATCTATATAATATAAATAGATATTGATGTGTTATAATGAGTTAATATACTTATAGTTTTGTTATTATTGATATTATTATTATTGTTACAGTTATTATTGTTACGATATTATTGTTATTGTATTATTATTATTATTGTATTATTATTGTTACAATTATTATTCTTATGATAACTATTATTATTAGATATAAATACGACCAATACTATACAAGGCAATTTTGATACATCTGAATCATTGTATCAAGAGGTGCATATACATGCATAGATGGCGGACTTTTCAATACAAGCACTCTAAATACTCCATACATGCCCTTTTCTCAATATCCACTATACTCAAGACTTATAATACTAAACCACATAGTTTCTTTTTCAAGAAACCTCTTCATAGAATAATTCAGATGTATACTATTGGTCGTATTGATTTCTAATTTACCGACAAGAATTAGAGTCACATAACTACTATCGTCGTCGTCGTCGTCGTTGTCGTGGTCGTCGTCGATTTCATTGGTTGTAAAAGTGGCTGTTTAGTTCATTGCCCGAAAAAACTACGACTCAATCTCATGTGTTTCAGTAAAGAATAAATTGGTTATTTAATACATAAATTTTCCTACAGAATGAGCCCAGGAATACAGGGAAAAATTCTTTGTTTAAATCAAAAGTTAACTTTATCTATTTATTTAAAAATTTATGATTAGTTGCCAATTTTTTTTATGGATTTTTGCTTGTGTCTCTGCTTCTATTACTTGTAGAGTAATTTTACGATCACCAATTTTTTTGTTATCAAATTTTCTACTATATAAATATCTTTGTAAATTTATTATTGATTATAATGCCACACTAATGGTAACAAAGGGTAAAAGAATTTTTAAACCAATAAACTTTTGATCAGCGTAGAAAAAAGAACTACCATGTCGATTTGAAAGTAACCATAAGAAAACATAGATATAACGTTTCACAATAAAGAGCTATTTTGAAAATTAGACAACAGTTAATAGTTTTTGCTAATTAATTTTTAAAGTAATACTTTGAAATGTTATTTTAAACGTACTCGTTGATTTACAAAAATAATTGTGCTGTAGTGTTGACACAATCACAATTTATGTTTTTATTTTTTTCTGACCTCGTAGGACATGGGCAAACACCAAAAAAAATTTATTACTATACTCGAACCTAACACATACTCAAATTATTAATTCATTCTTAATAATGTGTTATTTTTTTTATAAAATGTTTCTATAAGTTATCATTATTTATCATATGCATGATAAATATATTTTAGCATTAATTTTTTTATTTCAATAACTTTTTTATCCTACACATTATGACTGTATGTAGCCTACGTCTAAAAAAAAGCGAATGGAACTACGTTACAACCAGGGGTCTATAGACCCCTCACGCCTGGTTATTGTTGTTGTCGATGTTATTATTATTATTTTTATTCTTGATGTTGTTATTATTTATGAAAAG